TCGAGCCTCCTTCCGTAGAGGATAAAGAAGTGTTAGGTAGCCTGAGACTATGTCGTTTGGCGTGGTCACCACTCGGAGACTCTAAGATGGGTGTTCATTTTTCTTCCCCGAGTAGAAGTCAAACCAGAACAACTATTTCTTTTAGCGTGCGTGCACATCTCTGGAGCAAAGTCTGAAGATACAAAATAAGTAGAACATATACACAGTATTAGGAAGGGAAGATTTCGTTCACGGTGGAGGACGTGTTCACAGAAAAGAGCAGGCTATCCTAGGTAAACCATTTGCTGTTTCAACTACGGCTAGAAGTACTTAAGGAGTATTCCTGAAGCCTAGCACGGTGCCACGCACCTGCGAGCACTCATGAGGCTGAAGCCGAAAACAAAAACAAAAAACAGGGCTGTGGTGGCCTACATACTTGGAGGCAGAGGCAGGCACATGACTGTGAGCTCACATCGCTGTGAGCTTGAGGCCAGCCTGGGCTACAAAGGGAGTCCAGGACAGCCAAGGCTACACAGAGAAACTTTGTCTTGAAAAATCAAAAAAAAAGAAAGAAAATAAGAAAGAAAAGAAAATTGTTGGGGCTGGGCAGTAGTGGTGCACATCTTTAATCCCAGCACTCAGGAGGCAGAGGCAGGTGGATCTCTATAAATTTGAGGCCATTAGGAGAGTTGAGTTCCAGGACAATCCATGTTACACAAGAGAAATGCTGTTTCAAAAAAGAAAAAAAAAAAAAAAAAAAAAAAACAATCCCAGGCTGGAGAGATGGCTCAGAGATGAAGAACACTGGCTGCTCTTCTAGAGGACCTGAGTTCAATTCCTAGCACCCACATGGTGGCTCATAACCCTCTATAGTGAGATCTGGTGCCCTTTTCTGGTCTGCTGGCACACATGCACGCAGAACACTGTATACGTAATAAATAATCTCAAAACAAAACAACTGCCCCACCTAAAAAATAATAATAAAAACTTGAGATACAGACACAGACCTGGGGCAAGCCAAAGTGGACTTGGCCTTAGGTTTTCCCAGCATCCCTCAGTCCCTATCTGAACTTTCCAGCTCAGGAGCTGGCTTCCTGTCTCCCCAATTGCACAGGGAGCTGCCCCCCCAAACCTACCTTTATATACTTTAATTTGGCTTGAATTGGCTCATTTCATCGGTGGAGAATACCCATCAAAAAATTCCAGTAAAAATTAACTGTGTGTGTGTGTGTGTGTGTGTGTGTTTTGTAGCTCTTCTGGAAGTCTCTCCCATCTCACACTTGATTTTTTTTTTTTCTGTCACCAAATCACTGTAGTAATGAAATCATATTCATCCCTGGAACCTCAACTTTCTACAGATGTTGTATGTTCTAAGATTGCAAAGCTTTGCTTCATAGCTACTAGTCAGTCAAATCATGTTCTTTCTATTTTTATTTGTTTGTGATGACCTTGCTATGTAGTGCTGGCCCGGTTGGAACTTACCGTGTAGAACAGGCTGACCTTGACTTTCCATCTTCCTTGAGAGTGCTGGGATTAAAGGCTTGCAACCACCGCACCAATCTCAAAGATGTTTATGTTCAGGTGTGTGTGTGCGTGAGCAGAGTTGTATGGCTGCTGGAAATTCAACTCAGGTTTTCCGAAAGAACCACATGATCTTAAATGCTGAGTATCTCCCTACCCCCTCAAACTGTATTCTTTCCTGTACTGATATTGGTTTCTGACACTGCAAACCTCTTCCCTGAGGCTGGAAATAGCTCAAGTGAAGTGGGTACTCTGAGCGGCAGAGGCAAGCCGATCTCAGTGGGTTCGAGGCCAGCCTAGTCTATAAGATGAGTTCAGGACAGGTAAGGAATAGACTCAACCAGCAGATGGTGTTTGTTTCTTTTCTTTTCTTTTTTCTCCTTTCCCCTTCCCCTTAACCCCTCCTCTCTTTCCCGCCTTCCCTCCCCTCTCCTCCTTTTCTCTTTGCAAGACCGCGGTTTTTGTGTGTGTGTGTGTGTGTAACAGAGCCCTGGCTGTCCCGGACTCGCTTTGTAGACCTAGCTGGCCTGGAACGCAGAGAGATCCACTTGCCTCTGCTTCCCGTGTGCTGGGATTAAAGGCGTGCGCCACCACGCCCGGTTTAAACAAGTATCTTTTAAAAACTACAAGTCCCCAGAAAAACCCGGTCTTGAAAAACAAATTAAACCAAACCAAGAAAACTACAACTCCCAAGAAGCCTTAGGGCCTTTCGAAGGCACGGTGGCGCCTGCTCAATATCGCTCGCTAGGAAATTAAATGGAACTGCAATTCCCAGGAAGCGTTATACCACGGTTTATCCAATCAGCGCTATGTATATACTATCGCGAGACTTCGATGAGACTTCATCCTATAAGCTCGTGGGAACGAGGATAGTCAAGCCTTTTCGCCAAGATGGCGCCGAAAGCGAAGAAGGAAGGTTTGTCGCGGAATGGGGCTATGTTGGGCTTGGTCTGGAATACCCGCAGAGCGAACTCAGGGGGAAGACTGCTCTTGGGCTAAGCCATGGTCTATTTTCTGTGGAGCTACTATCGCGATTAGGCCCACACTGCACTGTATGAAGACCGCGTGGGCCAAGCCGCATGGGTTGGTTCCGGTGAAGGGGTTTGGAGTGGCAACCCAGCCGGCATCACCCACTATTGATAGCCAAGTTGGCTTTGGGAAGTTACTTAAGATCCGCGGGGTGGCGCGCCGTGTCTCCACACCTCTAAGGGATTAAGAGTACAGTTACCCTTTTTTTCAGGTTAAATGGGGTTATACGCAGCAACTTCATGTTACACCGAGTTAATTATCTTCGCCTGCAACTCGTGCATATGATGGAAAAAAATTAAGACTCCTGAGACCTATGATGTCTTCAAAGGAACCACTGATGCGCTTGTTGACAGGGCAAGCAGAAGGGATCAATTTATGAATGCTGCACTGTAGTTACATTTCCTTCTCTCTCAGCTCCTGCCCCTCCCAAAGCCGAGGCCAAAGCGAAGGCCTTGAAAGCTAAGAAGGCAGTGCTGAAAGGCGTCCACAGCCACAAAAAGAAGAAGATCCGCACGTCACCCACCTTCCGGCGGCCCAAGACCCTGCGACTCCGGAGGCAGCCCAAATACCCTCGAAAGAGTGCGCCCAGGAGAAACAAGTAAGGAATTAAGAGTTCATGATTTGCTACCCATCCAAAAGCCGGACTTCTAAAACACATAATTGTCCAATGCGCCGCCCCAGTGGAAATGTGAGAACTTTGTTTAAAATTATATATATAATTTTAACTAATGTTTGAAAGTTGATTTCAAAGAGACGCTTCTTGGTTCCCAGTGTCCTTGGCACGTGAGAGTGTTGTTGATTGATTGGTGTTGGTTAAGTTACTTGCATTGGCCAGTGATGCCCTGCTAATGGTGTAGGAAAACTTTCATTAGCTCTGCCAAGCCTTAACACCGCTCAAGAGAAGTTTGGGTAAAAAAAAAAAGTGTTTCCTGAAAAAGACATAAGGGGTCTTTGGGGAAAGTAGTTCCAATCGTCTCATTTTCTTATTTGGACTGAGGATCTTGAGTCATTGCCTGGCTTCAAAACAGGATAGTTGTTGGATAAGTAAAGCTTGGCTTTTCAGGATTTTAAGGGAAAGCTGTTTCCTGACTGCTTAATCCAAAAGAGTGGCTTTTGGCTCTGGGCAAACTCTTGAAGCCCTGGGTTCAGCACCAGCACTGAGTGAATCCTTGGTGGGGGTTATTATGTAATGCTCTGAGGTTGAGTCCTCAGAGTGTCCTTTTTATCCCAGCCTGACCAGAAGGGAGTGTGTATGAAATTGGTAGCTCTTGAATTTGAGGCTAGCCTGGAGTAGAGTCAACCTTTAGCGACTAAGCACAGTTCATTGTTTTGGGTCTGGCTCCAGTGGATGAAGAATGTGTGTGGATTAACCCTGTTTCTTTAAAGCGTCAGAGAGCTTTGGTTTTTAAAAAGGTACAAGTTTTGGTTCTGAATGGAGAGTTAGGCATTCTGGGGTTCAGGTGCATGTGATGACACTGTTTAGCGACCAAAGTCTGATAGAGATGATTGCTATCTATTGTCTGATGCACCTATTCTTTCCTAGCCTTGCCTGTCTTGAATACTGGCCCAGGGCAGTTTACTCCAGCTTTCCTCCCATACCCCACTAGGCTTGACCACTATGCCATCATCAAATTTCCCCTGACCACCGAGTCAGCCATGAAGAAAATAGAGGACAACAACACACTTGTGTTCATTGTGGATGTCAAGGCCAACAAGCACCAGATCAAACAAGCCGTGAAGAAACTCTATGACATTGATGTGGCCAAAGTTAATACCCTGATAAGGTGAGTGGGACCAGGCAGCAACAAAAGCTTATGCTTACTTAAATGTCCCATGGCTTCTTGGTGACTGTGCAAATGATGGAAAACTCACTATTTGGAAAAGAATGACACCAACAAAGGAACCACTGATGCAGCAGAGGACTTGGGGGTGAGTGGGAGGGATTGGAGCTGTGAGCATCCAATGCTGAGGCTTCCTTCTCCGCTCAGGCCTGATGGAGAGAAGAAGGCATATGTTCGGTTGGCTCCTGATTACGATGCTCTGGATGTTGCCAACAAGGTAGGTATCCTGTCCAGTCAGTACTTTGTGCTTGAGTGTGTCTATACACAATCTGCATCAAAATCTGACCATCTCCACAAAGGACCAGCCTCCCCCATTCCTGTCATCCCAGCTCACTTCACCTTAAACAGTGACTTAGCTGCCCTTTTTTTTTTTTTTTTCCAGATTGGGATCATCTAAACTGAGTCCAGCTGGTTAACTCTAAATATATGTACATTTTTTTCCACCATAAATAACGCTGTTTGTGTTTTTTTTTTTTTTTGTGGCTTTCTGGTTGGGTTGGGGACAAAACCATAACGTAGATATACATATACTAAGGTGACAGGGCTTAATGTAAGGTGGGTGCTGGGATGGAACCCAGAGTGCAGTGCTTTTTGAGCTCTGAGCAGAAAAAACTTCATTGGAACACACCATGATGATGCCACCACTGTTACTGCCCCACGCTAGAGCTCAAGTACAGAGGTATTTATTACAGGGTTAGCTGTCCTGGGACATGCCTCCATCATCACTTCAGAGGACAAGCTTTACGAGAGGTTCTTCCTTTATCCCTGGAAGAGGCTGTTGTGAAACCAATACCAGAGTCTGGGAGAGCAGAGGGGTTATTTTAGAGCCGGCAGCATCCGTTTCAGGGTGGTGTGGGTTGGCTGGCTCTTGCACAGTGTCTTGTCCTCACCCGTCTACCATGCCCAACCGGTCGGTTTGCTCCCTCATCCCTTGCCCGAGAGGACTTCAGATGAGTTTTCATTAGTGTTTTCAATAGTGTGGGTGTTGGCTAAAGGTGGAAAGGCTGGCCTCAGAATACGCCCAGGCTTTGTGGCAGAGTCCTAGTTTGTTACAAAGTTGTTGGCTGTGCTTGCTGTCACTGCCACACACTGGGTTCTACTTTGTCATTCAGTCAAGAATTTGTCTTTCTGTTGGCGTTTGGGAGCACGTTCAGGGCAGAAATCAGAGCGGAGGAGGCGAGAAAAGTAGATGAGGATCATCAAGTCCAGCATGAGCAGGATGGCCAACAGAAATGTTCCCAGGGTCCTCTGGCCAGCATACTGCAGGAAGACCTTGGTGAGGTAGGCTTGAGGGGCCAGGCGGAAGAGAAAGTACATGACCAAGTTGATGTACTTGTTGACCTTGTAGAGGAGGAGGTCCTGGGCGTTGTTTATCTTCATCATCATCCTCAAAGTGAGGAAGATGTTGCTGACCTCCACCAGCAGGGTTAAGACGCCACCACCGACAAAGCTTTTCCAGAAGATGCCAGAGAAGAAGGCGCCCATAGCCTAGGGGCACATGACAAAAAGTTTGAAAAGTGCTTTGGCATTCCTGGGCAAATCATAGTAGTACACAGCAGGTTCTCCTGTTAAGTCAGTCACTAGACTTTGTCCGCCAGGGTGTTAGCTCTGCGTGACATTCCTAGTCTGTTTAGGTAAGCCCAGGCCCTCCCCTGGCCCCAGAAGGAGCAGAAACAGCCTTAGGCAACCTAGGGGAAGCCATACGCTGCGGGGTTAAGATGGCCTCCCTGTCTCAAATGGTTGTGACCATGTTGCCTGTATCACTTCACTGCTTTCCTCACTTACCATGACATGGTGTACAAGATATTCCCAAGAAGCTCGAGTCTGTCCACTAACAACGATGTCCACCGTGTCGTGGATAAAGTATCCTAGTGGAGGAGTAGGGAGGGAGAAGACTGAGTATGCTTAGTGGCCTTCCACCCTCACCTCGGCCTCTTCAGGCGTAACCTACCTGCAGAGAAGCAGACAAGCAAATAGCCAGAAAGTGACCACGCCGTCTCGATCTCCACCAGCATTTCAGGGGTTTGCCATATGCTGGAACAGAGAAAGGGATATTATCTCGGCTGCAGCTTCCCAGAGGACCCTTGCTTCCCCCAACACTCGCTAGTCTCAGGGCTCTCCAGGCGCCTACTATTGGCTGATTGGAGAGTTAGGAGGGGCTTGGCCCAAGCCCAGGTACCTCGGGTTTCCCACAGCCGTTTCTGTTTGGGTAGTTTTCCAAACCGGGAATCAGGTGAGATCCCTGCGTGAGTGATGGGAATAGCGACAGGGAGACCAGTCCCAACACCCTGCGAAAGATCCCACGGCCACCTCATCACCCCGGGTGTTCACTCACCACAGCAGTGCCCAGATCCCTGATACGATGGAGTGGGTGAAGGAGACGAGTAGGTTGTGCCAACGCCAGGTGCGCAGGGGGTCGGTGTACACGTGGGCAGGCAGGGGCAGGCGACAGAGCACACGGCGGAGTGCTCGGAAGATCAGCGTGGCGCCCAGGAGCAGAGGCCAGGCGGGGTGCAGCAGCAGGGGCATGCTGGCCCTCCTCGCCGTCCGTCTGCCCGCCTTTAAGCCGTCTCCTCCGGCGGCGCTGGAACACCGCTCCGTCTCTGGACAGCGCGCCACGACAGACTCCGCCACGGGCCGCCAGCCCCAGTTTTGCGGAGCCCTCAAGGCCCCTTCGCTCCTCCCCGCGCTCCCGGCGAGGCCTCTGCCCGCCCCTGCCGCCCGCGCCCCCGCCCCGCCCCGCCGCCTGCCCCCGCCCCTCGGGCGCCGCGGCCCCGAGGCCCCCGGGGCCCCGCCCTGGTCCCGCCGACTCTGAGCGCGAAGGGGCTGTCCCCGCCATCGCCGCCAAGGCGCCCCGGCCTGGCGCCTCCCGACAGCCGAGGGCGTCCTCGGCCGCCCCCGTGCCTCCGGCCCCGCCGGCTCACGTCCCCACTCTCCCCGCCGATACCGGCTCCCACACCCTGGGCGGGTCCCGCGAGAACGCTCCTTTCTCAACTCTTTTGAGGGCAGAGCTGGGCGGGACCGTCGCGCAGACGGGGCTGCTGGAGCCGGGTCCTGGGGCATCCGCAGCGCCGCCTGGGACCGTGGCCCCGCCCAGAGTCGAGTCCTCCGCCGGCCGGACACCGACGTGTCTACCTGCGTCTCCCGCGTCGCGCACCAGTGCTGCTTAGAACTATCGAGTCACCCACCATCCCCCCTCCCGTCCCCGCCGCTCCGGGGCTCCTGGAGCCCAGCGGCTGTCACAGTCCTCCCTCAGACAGTCCCAACCCTCTCCTGGCTCCTCCGAGGCCGGGGCGGGGAAGGCTGCGGATTTGCCCAGACAGCTGGGGTGACCCTCTCCAGGGCAGTGGCCTGGCGTGATTGCGGCCTCTGGCCACTAGGTGTCAGCCTGCTCCCACGGTGGTGGGGCCCACGGGCGGCCGCTGTCCGCGGAGCGGGATTAGCAGGGCCCCGGGGCGGGGGGGAGACGCGGCACAGAGCCGGGGCGGGAAGGAGGACGTGTGTGCGTTAGGGAAGAGGAGAGGGGACGCGAGCAAGAAGTGGGGACCTGGAGGGCGGTGTTTCCAGAGAAGAAACAAACCCGAGCTCAAACGCCCAGGGTGTTTGCGGTCTTCCCGGGCAGCTCCGGGGTTACACATTAACCCCGAGGGACTCCGGTCGGTTACTAAGTAACAGCGCAGTGTGAAGAGTTGGCTGAGCAGTCTGCCTCCCGCTCGCTCGCTCCGCTGCCCGGGAAGCCGGCCCACCAGCCAGCTCCGGCCCGAGCCGGCGGCCGCAGGCTCCCTCCGGTCATTCCACGTCGGCCAGTGCGGGGCGGGGCGGGGACAGGAGATAAACACCCCTTCCCTCGCCCTCCGCGCCCTCTCGGAGGTGGGAACGTCCACTCTTAGCTAACGACCCCTCCCGGGTGCCCGAGCTTTACGGCTCCCCCAGGGCAGACGTCGAGAAGCCAGGATTAAGTTCGCCCCGGCCGGAACCCCGGCGGCGACCTGCCCAGCCCGCTCTCTCTGGACAGAAGCGTAGGGCCCTCTCGCGCTTCCCCCGGCCCGGGAGGCTGGAGACGAGCACCGAGGGCTGAGCCCCCTACCGCAGCGCTCTGCGCGCGGCGACCAGCAGCTGTGGCAACCTGCAGATCACGCCACGTACTCCCCAGGTGACTCAGTTTGTCCAGCCCTCCCGGGCCCTCCCCGGCGGAAGCCACACGCCCCCGCCCCCGCCCCCGCCCCGCACAGCGCGCTCTGGGTTGCGTTCCCGGGGTTCATCCTTCACTCGCCAGGAGGGAATCCCTTCGTCTTTCTCAAGTAGTGTCACTCCTGGGCAGCGGGGACTCGATCCTCGCTTCCCACTCGCATTCCACCTTCGGGGGACAATCTAGTTTGTGCGGGGCGACTTGAGTGGGCGCCTCGCCGCCCCAGTCCAAGTACCTATGACCAAGGCACGCGTGTGCAACGTGGCTGGTAGGGGACTGGGCTCCAGGGGCTCGTCCGTCAATCGGGACTGGCTTCCCCGGGATCCCTTGTTGGGGGTGGGGCCGCGACTCGGACCGTCCGGGTTGGGCTTACAGTCAGAGAAACTGCGGGGCCAACAGACCACCCTGTTCCTTCGGCTCCGCCCTGCGAAAGTCTTACAGCCAGGAGGAGGAGCTCCGGGATGGGAAGGTCCGCGCACGCGCCGCACGGGGACTCCAGAAGCGTAACTGAGAAATGAGATGGAGAAGTACGAGCGGATCCGAGTGGTGGGAAGAGGTGCCTTCGGGTGAGCCAGGGCCTTGGGGAGGCAACGCTAAGGGAAAAACAAGCCCCAACTCTGACCGAGAAGTCGTGGTCCCGCTGGCCCCGCCCCGAAGCGAGAGCGCCACTATCGGACGCCCCACTAAGGCATCCAGTCCTCAGGTCTAGGCGGGAGCCCCGCCCCCGGCGAGGCCACGCCCACCAGGCCAGCCTGCGCCCTTGGGAGATAGTTGTTCCCATAGATCGTTCCTTACAGCAACTGATAATGAGCGTCAGCAGCACAGGTCAGACTGCCCAGGGTATACAGTTATGACCAAAACAGGCGAGGCACTTCCCCTTTATGGACTTAGTCCATAGGAAATTGGTACAAACAAACAAGGTATTGTTAAAGCAGTTAATGAAGTTTAAGCAGCTGTGGACTGTTACTAAGAGACCTTGCAGCGGTGGGGTGGTGTAATTCCAGTACTTCGGAGCAGATGCAGGGTCATTATGGTCAATTCGAGGCCAACCAGGGCTACATGGAGATTGTCTCCAGAGGAAAAGACAGAAAGCCAGTTTTTAGGGTACAGCTGGGCAGGCCTGAGTTACATAACCAGTTCATGGCCAGCCTGGGCAGCTGAGTGCTACCTGTCTCAAATTTTATAAAAATAAAGAAAAGGGGTGGGGTGGGGACTGAGAATGTATATCATGGGTAGAGCTCCTGCCTAGCATGCTCCGGTTCAATGTCAGTACCAAAAGGCAACTTAAAGAGTCCCCAAGGAGGTGAGAAAGATGTAAAGTCCAGGATAGCCAGGGCTACACAGGGAAACCTTGCCTTCAGAAAACAACAAAACAAAAGGCTTGAAGAAATGAGGATCAGGCATAGTCCTTCCGGCAGATAAAGTAGCATTTGCAAAGCTCCTCACATGGGCAAAATGTTATAACATTCAAGAAACTGAGAAAAGGAAGAGTGTAGCCAGAAAGTCGTGAGCAAAGTGAGGAATGTGTTTGCCCTGGAGGGTGGGGCCAGGTTCTGATCTCGTGAAATGAAGTAAGAGGTTACTTAGGTTGACTTAGAGTATAAAGGCAAAGGGGGGGGGGAGGTTCTGTTTGTAATAGGGCCTGAACTCAGGGTACAGAGCTACACCCCCAAACCAGGGAAGAGTTTTCAAACCGGAATGGGGTGTGGTGGCCTGTAGTCTCACACTGGTGGTGGAGGTGGATGGAGGCTTGAGAATACTAATTCAGGGTCTTTAGCTAAATATATATGGGCTTCCTAGCAAGCTCAAGGTCAGTCTGGGTTCTGTGAGAGTGTGTCTCTGGAAACAAATAAATCATTGCAGTGATCTTATCTGACCCATGTGGATTTTACAAGGACAGTCTAGGTTGGGGCTGTAGCTCAGTGGTAGAGGGCCCTGGATTGGATTCCCAGCACTGAAAAGGAAACAGAGTTAGGGTCATTATGGCTGCTGTGTAGAGTTTAGATCTCAGGGTGACAGCAGTGGAAGGGACTGTTTTAGAAGGCTGGAGGACATTTTTAAGGTAAGTTACTGTCCTTGGCCAGAGGCAACTCAGCTACCAATAGCTCTGAAGTTTGAGGTCTTTCCACAGACCTCTACTCAGAAAAGATTTTCAGAAACCTGGACTCTCAACACTCCCAAAGCTGAGGCTAGGGAATTCAAGGCCAATCTGGGGACATAGTGAGTTTTCAAGATCATCCTGTTCAAGATCATCATCATCATCATTACTCAGTGATACACTATTTCAAAGTCCTGAAACCAGGAGCTGGAAAGATTTTTTTTTTTTAAAGATTTTATTTATTTATTTTGAAAGCTCTATATGTAAACCAATATGCCAGAAGAGGGCAGTAGAAGGTACAGATGGTTGTGAGCCACCATGTGGTTGCTGGGAATTGAACTCAAGACCTCTGGAAGAACAGCCAGAGCTCTTAACCACTGAGCCATCTCTCCAGCCCCTGGAAAGATTGTTGAGTGGTTACAGCATTATTCTTGCAGAGGACAGGATTCTATTCCAAGTGTCCACACAGTGGCTCACGACCACATGAAGCTCCAGTTCCAGAGGACCCAACATCCTCTTCTGGCCTCTTTGGGCACAAACATATATCAGGCAAAACATTTTCCCATAAAAAATAAGTATTTTTAAAAGCCAGAACACAAAACAAAAACAAAGAATTTTCTTTTGTAAATGAGATTACAAACTGCTTATAAATGCATTATACAGATTTACATATAAGGAAGGCACTTAGAAATTCCTAGCTTTACATAGGTCAGAAGGAAGTTAAAACAGGTTTTCTTTTTAAAACATTTGTTTTTATGTGTCGGTGGAGGTCAGAAGAGAACCTTGGGTCCCCTGAAACTGGAGCTGCCATGTGGGTGTTAGGAACCAAATCTGGGTCTTCTGTAAGGCCAGTGAGTGCTCTTAAACTGAGCCAGGTTCCCAGCCCCTTTGATTTATCTTTTCTTTGGTTTTTGAGGCAGGGTTTCTCTGTGTAGCCCTGGCTATCCAGGCTGGCCTTGAACTCATGGAGATCCACCCGCCTCTGCCTCCCAAGGGCTGGGATTAAGGGCGTGCGCCACCACCACTTGACTGGTGTGTTCTTTCATATACTTGTAGAGGTCAGAAGACAACTTGTGGGAATTGATTCTCTCCTTACCACATGGGTAGGTTCTGGATTATCAGGCTTGTCAGTAAGCACCTTTTCACCCACTGAACAGTCTTGGCCTGTTTTTGTTTGTTTTGTTTTGAGACAGGCTGCCTCAGGCTATGTGGCTAAGAATAGTCTTGAAATCCTGAAATACATTTCTTCTTGTCTCTGCTTCCCAGAGTGCTAGGATTACATGCATGTTTCACCACCATTGTTATTTAATGATTTTTAGAGAAAAAAAAAAAGATTTGTTTACTTTATATACTATTGTGGGTCTTTTGCATGCATATATGCATAGGCACCATGTTCAAGCCTGTGGAGGCCAAAAGATGGAGCTGGATCCCCTAGAACTGAAATTACAGACAGTAATTACACCCAGACTGCCGTGTGGGTTCTGGGAAGCAAACCTGGGCCCTCTGGAAGAGCAACCAGCAGTGCTCTTGACCTGTCTCTCCAGCCCAAGATTTATTTTTATTATTTTACTTTTATGCTCGAATGAATGCCACTTTGGAGGCCAGAGAGCTAATCAGATCTTTTGAAGCTGGTGTTAGGGGTGATTTTGAGCCCACTGAAGTGGGTGCTGAGCCAGCTCTCCAGACTGCTTTCTCTTCTCAAGACAGGGTCTTGTCAGACTGGCCTGGAACTCCAGATCCTCTTCGGCCTCCACCGCGCCCGGCTTACCCATCTAATGATCATGTGGGCTGTGGGCTGCCTAACGCATGGCTGGAAGCTCAGTTGGTGCCCACTCTGTGCTGTGTCCCTAGGATCGTGCACCTGTGCCTTCGGAAGGCTGACCAGAAGCTGGTGATCATCAAGCAGATCCCCGTGGAGCAGATGACCAAGGAAGAGCGGCAGGCAGCACAGAACGAGTGCCAGGTGCTCAAACTGCTCAACCACCCCAATGTCATCGAGTACTATGAGAACTTTCTGGAGGACAAGGCCCTCATGATTGCCATGGAGTATGCACCAGGTAGGGCAGTGGTCTCTCCTCAGCCTGGAGGTCCCTTTCCCCTCCAGGAGAGCTGGACACCACTAGGTGTCTTCCCTCTGGAATACACGTGGCTGAAAGTCAGAGGTACAGGGTTCTGGCCCGACTTGCGTGACCATGACCTCGCCCTCTCTGGGTTGTCCCCAGTGCGGGAACGTCCAGGTCTTGACTGTGCCCTGGGCCACAGGTGGCACGCTGGCTGAGTTCATCCAGAAGCGCTGCAACTCGCTGCTGGAGGAGGAGACCATCCTTCACTTCTTCGTGCAGATCCTGCTGGCGCTGCACCACGTGCACACCCACCTCATCCTGCACCGGGACCTCAAGACCCAGAACATCCTTCTCGACAAGCACCGCATGCTCGTCAAGATCGGCGACTTTGGCATCTCTAAGATCCTCAGCAGCAAGAGCAAGGCCTACACGGTACCTGGGTGTGCCGGGGACACCGAGGCTCTTCATAGCAGGGGCCTACTCGACATTTCCGCGTCTTCCCCTTCCCTTAGTCCCTGTCTGTGTGTGGCGCCGTGCGGAGGCTGTCCCCACGCCAGTGTCCAGCCAGAGGCCGCCTCATCTCTGCCCACGGCTGTAACCCAGGCTTCCTTCCTGCAGGTGGTGGGTAGCCCGTGCTACATCTCCCCCGAGCTGTGTGAGGGCAAGCCCTACAACCAGAAGAGTGACATCTGGGCTCTGGGCTGTGTCCTGTATGAGCTAGCCAGCCTCAAGAGGGCCTTTGAGGCTGCGGTGAGTATAGACACCACCGAGGGACTCCAGCTCCTTCGCCGCAGCTCTGACCACTTCTGTGTTCCTTCTCTTGTGGCTGGCCGAGCCGTGCCAGTCTCTACCTGCTGCTGGGGTAACCCAGGGTAGGGCTGTGCCTCTCCCTCGCTCAGCTTGGCCTAGGGTAGGGCTTGAGTCCTGCTTTAGCCTGTGAATTCCTCAGGTATGGATGTGATCCCTGATTCTCCCATGAGATTAGAGACGTTCCCAAGAGCAGGCCTGGAGTTTCCCGAAGCCCCTGGGATTTCCAAGGACGTAGCTGAAGCCTCTGTATCAGGCTAGGAAGTTCTAAAATCGGTGTTAGGCTCTCCTGCCATTCTGCCTTCTCTAATGAGACTAGTGTCCTGGGGGTAGACATGTTTTTTTATTCCATCAGTAGGGATGCTGCCCTTCCTAAGAGTGCAGCCTAGCACCCTGGCCACCCCACATGTGCTTTCACAGAACTTGCCAGCTCTGGTGCTGAAGATCATGAGTGGCACCTTTGCACCCATCTCTGACCGATACAGTCCTGAGCTGCGCCAGCTCGTCCTGAGTCTGCTCAGCCTGGAGCCTGCCCAGCGGCCACCGCTCAGCCACATCATGGCGCAACCCCTCTGCATCCGGGCCCTCCTCAACCTCCACACCGATGTGGGCAGCGTCCGCATGCGGAGGCTTGTGCAGGGAGATGGGTCCTGGGCCCCAGGGGCGGGCACCCAGTGGGAACACAGGTCTAGGGCTAATAACCCTTCATTATGTATAGTCCTGACATAGGGGTGTCAGGGACAGGCCTTGTCCTGAGGTTCTCTGTATCCCACAGGGCAGAGAAGTCCCTGACCCCAGGACCACCCCTGGCTCCTGGCAGCACAGGGATGAGGGCCGCCAGTGCCCGATGCAGGGGTGAGTTGGGGACCCTTGGCTGGAGCTCTGTAGACTCCCTACCATTTTTGCTAGTTTAACTGGCCTCAAACTCCGTCCTCGAAGGCGTCCCCCGGGGACCTGTGAGACCAGCTATCCCACCTCCGCTGTCTTCGGTGTACACGTGGGGCGGTGGCCTCAGTGCTCCTCTGAGGCTGCCGATGCTCAACACTGAGGTGGTCCAGGTGGCTGCAGGACGCACGCAGAAGGCTGGCGTTACACGCTCCGGGCGCCTCATCCTGTGGGAGGTGAGCAAGTCGGTGGTGGGCCTGGCCCGGCGAGGGTGGGAGCCCAGAAATGGAGTTGGGGTCTGCAGGCATCACCCACTCCTCTGCAGGCCCCACCCCTGGGCACTGGAGGAGGCACACTGCTCCCTGGGGCAGCAGAGCTGCCCCAGCCCCAGTTTGTCTCACGTTTCCTGGAGGGCCAGTCGGGTGTGACCATCAAGCATGTGGCCTGCGGGGACCTGTTCACGGCTTGCCTGACTGGTGAGCTTGTCAGGGGAGTGCTCTGTGGGGACAGGAGGAGGGCAGGCAGCGAAACTTCTCTCATCCCCAAATCAGTCAATTGATGAATGCTTCTCTTGCCTAAAGGGTTACTGATGTCTCTGTAGCAGTAGCTGAGTGCCTTTTCCTAGCACAGTAGGCCCAGCAGTGGCTATGTTAATACTGACTCCATTGGCAGATGGGGAGGACAGTAAGGCTGTCACTACTTCAGAATTATATACTTTCCCCCTTCCTGCCCTTCCAGCCTCTTTTCAATACTTCTTCAGTTCCTCTCCCCCACCCTCCAGACTAGAGACTGAGCCTAGGACCTTGGACATGGTGGGCAAGCATTCTGCTACTGAGTTATAACCACAGGTTGCTTTTGTTTTTATGAGACAAGGTCTTGCCATGTAGTCCTGGCTGACCTGGAACTCTTACAGATCCACCTGCTTCTGCCTCCTGAGTGCTGGAATTAAAGGCAAACGCCACCACACCAGGCTTTGGCTTTTTCTGTTGTCTGTTTGTTCTTGGGCAATGTTTTATAAGCTCAGCTAGTCAGACCTGCATTCCTCCCTCCGTCCGCGTAGCTTTAGTACCTACTGGTGCCACCAGACCCGGCCTCAGCTCCCAATTTTACCTCCCTCCTCCAAGCTGTAAGCTAAACACACTACTTGAAATGCAGTCTCTCTCCTCTCCCATCTCTCACTGCGCTCCTTCCCAGACCGAGGCATCATCATGACCTTTGGCAGCGGCAGCAATGGCTGTTTAGGCCATGGCAACTTCACTGACATCAGCCAGGTGGGTGTTCCATGTGCCCCGGAGAGGTAGCCCTCTTCTGAGAGCTGATAGCAGACTAGGGGTAGGGGAGTTCCCAGGAGCCTCACGTCCCATTAGCTCCCAGGCTGCACCTGCTCTGGGTCAGCTCAGAAGTCCAGGAAGCCTCTGCAAGGCTTCCCACCTGTTGCTATGACTGCACGCTGTGCATGTGTGTGGTTGGAGTTAAAGAGATGGTTCCCTAATTTCCTGCTTGCAGGAGATGGGGCTGAGACCATGGTAGGGGGCAAGTCCCAGATGCTTCCGTGGCCCTTTACTTTTCTCCCTCTCTCTAGCCCACCATTGTAGAAGCCCTGCTGGGCTACGAGCTAGTGCAGGTGTCCTGTGGGGCCTCTCACGTGCTGGCCCTGTCTACAGATGGAGAACTGTTTGCCTGGGGCCGAGGAGATGGTGGTAAGCCCGATCCCCGCCTCCGGTCCCTCCCCCAGCTTTGTTCAGCGTGGTCCGTTGTCATGCCCGTCTTCCTCTCCAGGCCCATTCTTTCCCTCAGGCCCATCTATTTCCTCGAAGTCCACTCATTCATTGCACAAAGCAGTATTTCATTCTTATCATGTGTTCCTCCATTGTTAATTGCTCAGATAAGAGGAATGTGATGTTGCCACATGTGGTGGTGTTGGCTTTTAATCCCAGCATTTAAGGCCAGCCTGGAATACAGGGCAAGTTCCAGGTTAGCCAGGGCTACACGGTGAAACGCTGTCTACAAAACAGAACAACAACAAAGGTGGATTCATTCAGGCTCTGGCATAAGGGAGAGTTTTACTGTTTTTCACAGTGCTAGGAATCAAGACTTAGTACACAGTAGTAAGTCCATGCTCTACCAACGACCTATACCCCTGGCCCACCTGACTAGGAACTGAGACTGGTGATGTCATAGATGGGTTCCAGTCCTGGGGGACTCAGGTGTAAAGAGTGTGTGTTACGGGGTGTATGTGTGTGTGTGCGCTAGAGGACACCAGGGCTATAATAACGAGTAACATTGTGGAATTAATTAAAGGGGACAGTGTCAGCCTGGGGACGCTGACAGCTTTGGATAGGCTCTTATGAGATGGGGTCTCACCTGCAACTTGATGTCTTGCTTTTGAGTGTTGGGACAGAACCTTGCTTTATAGCTTCAGCTAGCCCGGAATTCAGCCTGTAGCCCAGGCTTGCCTCATATTCATGGCATCCTCCTATGTCAGCATCCTGAGTGCTGTGCTTGATTAGAGGTGTGCTTCATTACAGCCAGCTGCCGTTGGAATGACGGGCAGGCCTTAAGTGATTCTGAGCAGCAGTGAGGCCCAGGAAAGGCATTTCAGGCTGAGAACAGCCTTCATCCATCCTCTTTTGGGTTTTGGCATTATCATTCCTGAAGCTCAAACTAACTCCATTTTTTTTTTTTTTTTCTTGTAGGTCGGCTGGGATTAGGTACTAGGGAGTCCCATAACTGCCCCCAGCAAGTGCCTGTGCCCCCAGGACAGGAAGCTCAAAGAGTGATTTGTGGTATTGACTCTTCCATGATCCTCACCTTGCCTGGCAGGGTCCTGGCCTGTGGAAGTAACAGGTGAATACATGCATCAAAGTGATAGGCCTGATTCGCTGCCTTCCTTGGATACAAAGTATTTCAAGCCTTATTGTTTCCTCCAGGGTTGAGAACTAAAGAGGGATTTGGTTCCACTCAGGGTGGGATCTACCTCCTGGGGGGACAGAGCCTAACAATCCCTGCAGAGCCTAGTGGGAGAAAGCGGCCTATGTAAACTCTGGCTCCATCCCTAGGTTCAACAAGCTAGGCTTGGACCGCTTATCCCTGGAGGAGGAGCCTATTCCCCACCGGCAAGTGGAGGAGGCCCTGAGCTTCACAGCGCTGGGCTCTGCGCCTCTGGACCAGGAGCCGCTGCTGTGTGTGGACCTTGGCACTGCTCATTCAGCCGCTGTGACTGGTGAGCAGGACATAGGCATGGGAGGCCTGAAGGCTCCCTCCAGGCTTCCTCCAGGCTTGTGTTCAAGTGTCCTGTCCTTTCTTCCCATCCCCACAGCCTCTGGCGACTGCTATACTTTTGGCAGCAATCAACATGGGCAGTTGGGCACTAGTTCCCGCCGGGTCAGCAGGGCACCCTGTCGGGTCCAAGGCCTAGAGGGCATCAAGATGGTGATGGTGGCCTGTGGGGATGCCTTCACCGTTGCCATCGGGGCAGGTGAGGGTGGACTGGATGAAGGTGGGCCTGGGCGAGCCCGTGGGGGGCCTGCTCAGTACCTTCCTTTTGCAGCCATGCTTGCTGTCCAGCATCTGACCGCTTGCTCAGGTTGCCCCTACTCTTTGGAATTCTTGGCAGAAGGGGAAGTGTATTCTTGGGGCAAAGGCGCCCGAGGTCGCCTGGGAAGGAGGGATGAGGACGCTGGACTCCCTCGGCCAGTGCAGCTGGATGAGACTCATCCTTACGTGGTGACCTCCATGTCCTGCTGCCATGGGAACACTCTCTTGGCTGTTCGATGTGAGTTTTCTTTTCCTACCTCACCGCACCACTGGGGCTAACCCAACTCCCATTTACTCTTTTATTCCATCCTCACTAGCTACAACTCAAATTCCCCAAAACAAGTTTCCACCCCCCAAAAAGTGAAAGCAGAACCTGTGGGCAATTGGGAGGCGATGGGTAAAGCACCCAGCCTTTGTGAGCAGGGGCTGCCTTCACTGCTCTCCAGGCCTCGCTTGAATTTCATCTTCTAATAATTCCTGCATCCAGTTGATAGTAAAACCCCACTTGTGCTGGCAGGAGGGCTCTGGCTCCAGGGCCCAGTGAGATCAAAGGTGGGTGCTGGCTGTAGGCACTGCCTCCAGAAAGCTGCAGAAGCTTCTCTCTGATACTCTCCAGCCGTCACAGATGAACCAGCCCCTCCCTGAGGCAACAGGATTATCCAAGAGACCACCTCTGCGCACTCTGGCAAGATGCAGGTGCCTGAGGAACGGCTGTTTCCGGCGTCCCGGATTGTGTCATCACGGGCGGCAAGGCCGATGAAGTCTACTCCGTTAGATGAAGTCTTCTCCGTTACCCACGCCGCTGCCCCCAAACCCCTGATCGCACTCGGTGTCTCCAGGCTCCAGAATGGCAGGCATCAACAGAAGGATGGCCTTCAAAGCCTTTGCTAAAAAAGTACCTTTTGCCCCCAGGCCAGTTAGAAAGCAAATTCCCGCAGGTGTTCTGGTGGAGACAGACGCCATGCTTTGGAATAGGGCAAGCCAGGGCTTGTTTGGACTGGCCATCAGGCCGACCTAATCTCTTACTAGCTTGTGACAGATAGGTCGGCGGGCCGGCGTCTCTTTTTCTCTCTCGTCCTAATCCTAAAGCAGGGGTTTGCAGAAGTTCCCCACCTCCCAGGGAAGGAATGCTGGAACTACTGAGTGCTTGCCCTCACCCCAGGCCACTCCCCAGACGTAGACTGGGGGAAAAGGCCAGGCCCGACCAGTTTCTCAAAGGTCTGAAAGTAGCACCAATAAATATCAAATGCCTGCTTGGCATATGGTCTCTTCAGGGGCAGAGGTGGCCGCTAGACACCCCAAGACTGGGCTGGGCCCGACTGTGGTTGCGGGGCAGCGGCCTGGAGGAATGTGGGCGCAGCCAGAGGCCTGAGGCTGGGGCCCCGAGGTTCCGCTGGTCCCGGGCCCAGTCCAGTTTCCTTGCTCCAGCCGGGTTTTCTCGCGGATCCTGTTGCCTGGCTTCGCTGCCTAGCACCTGGAAGCTAGGGCCCCGGGTCCCTGGGCGGTGCGTGGCGCATTAGACCTTAAGGTGGCCCCTACAGAGCCAAGGCTTGTGGTCAGGCACCATTATAGCGCAAGGGGCCCCCACTTCTGAAAGAATCGCAGCCAAGCTCTCAGTTCCAGCGGGAAAGGGGATCCCCAGCTTCCGGGGGTGGACGAGCCTGACTTAACTTTCGAAGCCTGAGCACAGTGTAAGCGCGACCGCATTCTCCGGGGTTGTGGAGTGGGCGGGGCGCGCGGGCGGGCTCTAGGACCTCGGGGACGCGGCTCCGCCCCCTCTTCCGGCGGGCGGGGTTGCGGACCCCGGCCGGCCGCGGCCGCCAGTCGGCGCCGCCCGCAGCCGGGAACGCGGCCGGAGTGAGGCGCGGGCTGTGGGGCCGCAGCGTGCCCGGCCCTGCTCGCCCGTGCCGGCCGCCAGCCCGCCATGCCTGGCTTCGACTACAAGTTCCTGGAGAAGCCCAAGCGGCGGCTGCTGTGCCCACTGTGCGGGAAGCCCATGCGCGAGCCGGTGCAGGTGTCCACTTGCGGCCACCGCTTCTGCGACACCTGCCTGCAGGAGTTCCTCAGGTGCGACCCGGGGGCGGGGGGCCTCGGCCCGCGGGGCAGGGCTCGGCCCGGGCGCACGTCGGGCCTTTGTCTGCGCGGCCGCCCGGTGACCTCAGGGGCGCCCACCGTGATGTCAAGGGGCGGCAGTGACGTCAGGGCTCCGGGGAGGACCCCACGCACCCAGGCGTAGGTCCTACCTGCCCAGCCCCGGGGTGGGGGACCGCCTGCCCGCGCGGCGGCCGAGGGCAGCGCCCCTCCCGACCGGTGGCGGGCCCTTCCCCCCCCACCTGTGCCCGAGCGGCCGCAGCCTTGAACTTTGAATCCTTGAGGGGAGGGAAGGACAAAGCCTCCCTCTCCCGCGCGGCGCCCCAAGCCTTTGGAGTTTCCCCCCGTGCGACCTGCTCTTACTCTCTGTCTGATGCCGAGAGACCGGCGGCTATTGTTCTCCCATTTCACAGAGAGTCGAGGAAAGGCTGCGATTTGCCCAGGGTCACACGATTCAAGTCTTAGCTGGCAGCCAGGGCTGCGTGCAGTCAGGCCGTAGAGGTTGGACTGTGACCCTCCGCGCCTCCGAAGTGGGAACTCTCCCCGCGGTCTTGAACCCGGCACTGCTGGCTGCTACACCAGTGACCCGGGCTGGTCCTGCGTGCCCCGTGCCCACTCAGGACCCCGTCGTGCCTTGCCGCCCGCCCCAGGCATCCGTCACATTTTTGGGCACCCTGTGCACAGCGTCTTGAGTCTACCTGGCACCGAGGGCTGCCATGTAGGAGGGGAGATGGGGGGGCCCTAACCACTGAGGAGGTCCTGCCCTAGACCACGAGAAAGGCCAGATCGGCCGCGGTCCCTCGAGGGGAACTGGCAGGGACGGCAGTGTGGGTCCCGCGCCGCAGTGCTCCGTCCCGCTGCCTTCCGAAGCTCCTGGCTGGCGGAAATCTCAGCAGGCCCTTTGTTTTTTGTTCCTAGCGGCCGCGGGCTCCTGCTCTCACATATGCTCCTGCTCAAGCTGCCGTGCTGCCCCCTCCTCCCTGCTCTTCTCCCTCCTCCCTCTGGCCCTCCTCCCTGCAATGTACACACTTAACTCCTCTACAGACACACGAGCCCATTGTCTTCCTCTGCTCCCTTCCCGGCCCTCTGGTTTCCAGATGAGGCCAGCTGAGCCAGCCCCCCTCCTCCAGCCGACCCACCCTTACTGCCTCGGGGAAGGAGCCGGGAGGGGTCTTGTCAGGCCCCACTCCCTCCTCCTTCACCTCCTTCTCAGTCCCCTCGAGGCTGCTCCTGCCCCTCCTCCTCCCGGAAATCCCCTCTTCCTCTCCTACTGCCCCCTCCCCCCATCCTGTCTTCTCCCCTGGGCTTGGGCCTCCACTGCTCAGGCAGGAGCTGCCTCTGCCTTCTCCCCTCCCCCATCGATAGAGCTGTGTTTAGTGGCCTCTGGAGGAAAGAGGTGGTCGAGCAGGCTCTGCCCCCCACTGTCACCCTACCCTACAAGTTAGGTTGTCCATAGCCTTGGCCAAACCTTTGTCCTGGCTGGGCCACAAGCTGCAGGGTTAGCCCTTGCCTGAAGCCTAGGGACTTACTTGTGCTAGTCCCCTTGCTGTCTTCAAAACCACTGGGTCAGCACATTCCTGAAGCAGCCAAGTGGACCCCCCTCCCTCTTGGCCCACCCCTCTCTCCCGGCTCCTGCTGTGGCTGGCTATTACTCAGGTTGAGCCAGGACCAGTGTAGGCATACCTCTTCATTGCCTGCACGTGTGTTCTTTTCATCGGGAGATGGCCAGTAGTGGTGGGGCCAAGAGGAGGTGATAGGAAGTGGACCGGGCACCTGGGATGTGGACTGCCCAGGTTCTGGAAAGTGCTTTCACAACAGGGCTGCCATGTAGCCTCTGCTTCCGCCTTGAGGCCTGCCTGCCTCCCGCCTACCTGACTCAGATCTGCCAGGAATGCCATGCCTAGGGCCTTCAGTCCTCCTGGGTGAGCCCTTGCCTTGCCTGGGCAGTGGCAGTCACGTGTGACAGGTCTTGTTGGGGTCACCTAGGGCACACTGGCAGGCGAAGCATGCCACCAGGCTCTCTGGGTGTTAGTATCTGGGTGGAGACTGGGGAGGAGGGGAAAGGCCAGCTGGCAGGGGGTAGAGTCACCAAGTTTCAGAAGCTTTGCCTGTGGTTAAAGCAAAGCGTAATCTGTGCAGTTACCACAGACACATACCCAGGTGCTGCTTCACTGGGGAGCCTGTTTGGTTTTTCCCATCTCTGGGTAGGGACAGTCTAACCACTTCTCAGAGGCAAGTGGTGAGGGCCAGGTGGGAATGTGAAGACTGGGGAGGAGTGAACACGGAAGGGCCAGGCAGGGGCCTTGCTCTTCCTTTCCACTCCTTAGGAGGCGCATCCTCAGAGAGGAGAAGGAATGGCCTCAAGATGACCCTGGCCTCGGTTCTTAGTCTGCCACCATCATGGAGGCTGGCAGCCCTGGCACTTAATCTAAGCACATCGCTGTATACCCTCCCATCAGCTGTCAGAATAGCCAATGAAAACTATTCTGGGGGAAGGGGTGGCAGGCTGCCTGTTTGTTTCAAGTCCAGCTGCTGGGGGGGGGGGTGCCAGCTGCCACCTGTTGGGCTAGTGTTGCCCAAGGCAGCTGTGTCTCTCTGCACTGGACCTAGAATACCCTTTGGGGGTAGTCTAGCACCCTTGAAAAGTGGGTCCCCTCTGACCTCTGCCTGCCCCTTTGTCTCAACGATGGCAGGCTAGGCAGGGGGCTGGCAAGGAAGGGAGGGAGGCTACCCTGGTTGAAGGGGTGAGGCCCGGGGTTTGAGAAGCCTTGACCCTTGCCTTTTTTCCTTTCAGTGAAGGAGTCTTCAAATGCCCTGAGGACCAGCTTCCTCTGGACTATGCCAAGGTGAGTTGGAAACCCAGGTATATAATGTATGGACTGTTGCCCTTGGTGGAAGCTGAAGCTGTTGGCAGCCAGCAGGCACAGGGCCAGTGTCAACCCCAAGCCTTAGGATATCGTGCCCCCACAAAGGTAGACTGTTCTCTCCCACCAGGCCAGTTTGCAAACAAAGGCTGTGTTTGCCCTGGGGGGCAGGCACAATGCCCGGACTGTAGGGGTACACAGAGCTGCTCTGTGCCCAGAAAGTGCTCCCTCCTCTTCCTGTAGCAAGTTAGATCTGTGGCTGGGGGCCAGGACCCCTCCACTAAGGAAGGAAGCAAAGCGTGGGGGATAGCCTGTGACTGAGCAGGCTGCTGGACTGCTTCCCTGAAGGACACACGCTCCTGTGCAGGCATGTGGGGTTCCTAGATTGCAAGTCAAAGGAGACACAGCCTGCTGTGTCCTTCATCCCAGGGCACAGAGACATAGTCTGAGAGGTCTTTGCTCAAGAAGCTACTACTGGCTTATAGGCCTGGCCAGCACAGTTCAAAGTGGAGGTGAATGGCGACTACAGCAGACCCTGGTCCTTGCTGATTCCCCCATTCTCTGCCCACAGATCTACCCAGACCCAGAGCTGGAGGTCCAGGTGTTAGGCCTGCCTATACGCTGCATCCACAGCGAGGAGGGCTGCCGCTGGAGTGGGCCCCTTCGCCATCTACAGGTGAGCCTCGGGTGGGGAGCCGGGACTAGCCCTCACCTGGCAGATACTGACTGCAGTCTTCCGCAGGGCCACTTGAACACTTGCAGCTTCAATGTAGTCCCCTGCCCGAATCGCTGCCCCGCCAAGCTGAGCCGGCGGGATCTGCCTGCCCACCTGCAGCACGACTGCCCTAAGCGCCGCCTCAAGTGTGAATTCTGTGGCTGTGACTTCAGTGGGGAGGCCTACGAGGTAGGTGGGGCCAGGCCGACTGTGAAGGAAGGGTGAGCACCTGGGAGCTGAGGAGTCACTTAACTTTGCCCATACGGTTGTTTTCAGAGTCACGAGGGCATGTGCCCCCAAGAGAGTGTGTACTGTGAGAACAAGTGTGGTGCCCGAATGATGAGGCGACTGTTGGCCCAGCATGCCAGTTCAGAGTGCCCCAAGCGCACCCAGCCTTGTGCCTACTGCACCAAGGAGTTTGTTTTTGACACCATCCAGGTGAGGCCCTTACCGACCTGTAGGCTATGAGACTGGGTAGCAGAGACTCAGGTTACTGACCACTCCTCTTCTGTCTCTGGTCCTAGAGCCACCAGTACCAGTGCCCACGGCTGCCTGTTCCCTGCCCCAACCAATGTGGCGTGGGCACTGTGGCTCGGGAGGACCTGCCTGGCCACCTGAGGGATAGCTGCAGCACCGCCTTAGTGCTCTGCCCTTTTAAAGAGTCCGGCTGCAAGCACAGGGTGAGATGCCCCTTCTTTCTCGCTCCCTTTAGCCCTGACAGAGGACCAGTTTGCTGGCACAGCTGAGGCCTTGATGGGTCCTGCTTCTTCCCAGCACCCTCTGCCATCGTCCCGTGGATTGGGTGCCTGCTACCCCTGCCTGCTTCTCCTCTTCCCTGGACCTTCCTCTTTTGGTAACTTTTTCCTTCCCCTATGGCCTTGGGTTTTGCCAACAGTGCCCTAAACTGGCAATGGCACGTCACGTGGAGGAGAGTGTAAAGCCGCATCTGGCTATGATGTGTGCCCTGGTGAGCCGTCAACGGCAAGAGCTGCAGGAGCTTCGGAGAGAGCTCGAGGAGCTCTCCATAGGCAGTGATGGAGTGCTCATCTGGAAGATCGGCAGCTATGGGCGGCGTCTGCAAGAGGCCAAGGCCAAGCCTAACCTGGAGTGCTTCAGCCCAGCCTTCTACACACACAAGTACGGTTACAAGCTGCAGGTGTCTGCATTCCTCAATGGCAACGGCAGTGGTGAGGGGACACATCTCTCCATCTACATCCGTGTGCTGCCAGGGGCCTTTGACAATCTCCTGGAGTGGCCCTTTGCCCGCCGGGTCACCTTCTCCTTGCTGGACCAGAGCGACCCAGGTCTAGCCAAGCCACAGCATGTCACTGAGACCTTCCACCCTGATCCAAACTGGAAAAACTTCCAGAAGCCTGGCACTTGGCGAGGCTCTCTGGATGAGAGTTCTCTGGGATTTGGCTACCCCAAATTCATCTCCCACCAGGACATCCGAAAGCGAAATTACGTGCGGGATGACGCCGTCTTCATCCGTGCCTCTGTGGAACTGCCCCGGAAGATCCTTAGCTGAGAGTGGAGCCTTTGGGGCTCAAGTAGGGAGGGAGGTGGGACAGGATCTTAGACACTGGCTGAAACTGGATTGGGGGCCGGACCCCCTTTCAGCTTCTTTTGCCTCGGTTGTTAATCCACTCTCTCCCTATCACCACCACCACCTCTAACCCTCAGGTGCCTCCAATTGGTGCTTCAGCCCTGGCCCCTGTCGGGGGGATCAGTCTCGGGGTTAAAGGGCTGCAAACAAGCGATCCCAGGGCCTGTCTCCTGGGCAGGGCAGACATGCCTTGGTGCCACCCGCGTTCTACCTGGACTGAGGTGCCTGCTCAGGTGCTAAGTCCCAAGAGCCATAGTAGGGGTGGGAGGTGCTGGGAAAGGGAGGGGTAGTTATGAGAGTTATGCCTTGAGATAACTTCTCTTTCCATTTACCCGGTGGTGCCCTCTCTGGTTATTTATTTCTTTAGTGCTAGGGGGGCACAGCAGGGGAACTCTGATTTTTAATAAATCCTGAATTGTATTTATTAACTTTATTCCAGCCTGTCTCCTCCCCGGTTGGTTAGGGCTCTGGGAGGCTGGGCCCAACAGAAAAGGGGTGAACTACTTGGCTAGCAGCGGTACCTCTGGTGGACAATCCGGGAACTGCAGCAAGCCTTGAGTGGGCGTGTCAGTCGGCAGCTGCCCTCTGGTGGCTCAATGGATAGGTGCAGGCTGGTGTTCCTAGTCCATACCTCGCCAAAGACAGATGTTGCTCTGCGTAGGCAGGTCTGTGAATATGATACGTATGTGCAGGCCACAGGCCAGTGTCCTCTGTCTTCCCCAGTTACTCTCTCCTTTTGAGACAGGATCAGAAATCCTGGAGCTTACGGATTCCACAAGACTACTTGGCCACTGAGCTCCAAAGGAGCTCATCTTTCCAGCCTGAGGCCTGTGGCTTTCAGTCAAGTGAAGTGTTTTTACCATTAAAACGAATGGGCATGCGTGAAGAGTTTATGAGGCTGCATGTGCTGACAGATGGTGGACTGGTGTTAGTCTACTCCAGGAGTAAAAGGCCTTCTGGATGCACAAAGCGCTTGGACTTCTTGCCTATCATTTTTTCAGACAGTTTTGAATGGCTGCCTCATGTCCATTTTAGCAACTGAGAACAAGCAAACTGACTCTTTCAGCTGGTTTGGGGCAAGGCCTGGAGTTCTGTAGGATTTCCCCTCCTGGTGCATGCCACAAACAACTCAGCTACATACCCCTGAATTCTCAAAAAGCATTCTGTAGGCATATAGCCCCTCTAATTTTGGCACTAGATTTAGGCTGGCTTTTGGCAAGTTACTTAGCTATGTGGGGTTAACTGCACTTAATGGTAAGATGAATTCTGCTCAACCACTGGTCTCGGAATGTGATGACAGGTGGCAGTTAGCATGCAGTGCCTTTCTCTTATGGCCTGGCACTGAGACCTGTCTGGGGATTGGTAGGGAAGGTCTGCGGGTCCCTTCTGAGGAGGGCAGTGTAAAGGGCCTTTGTCACGTGAGAAGAGGCTGGATCGGGGCTGGTTAGCTCTTTACTAGCCAAGTACTTTCCCTCTAATCATTTGGGGGGCCATGGGACCTTAGATGAGAAAGCCAAAAGTGGCCCCAAATCAAACAAAACAGCATGGCAGACAACCTGAAAAGGAAGTGGCAGAGAAGCCTTAGAGCTTCAGCAGACATGCTGTGGGCAGGGAGGAGGTCTGACTGCTGTGTAGTGCTTCAGAAACGACAGCTTGGAGTAAAGCTGGCTTCTCTGCTGATGGGCAACTGCGTGACTCAACGGCCCTAACATCTTGCAGCTGACATAGTCCGTGGCCTTGTAGCATGGGCCTATCCCTCGTTCCAGCAGCAGCGCTAGCATAGTGGGATTCAGCAAGGCCACACCAGCGTGACCTGGGCTCCTGAGCGCCAGCCTCTAGCTAGGAATACTGCAGGCGGCTGGGCTCGCCTGCCTACCGTGTCACCTCTGGCAGAGGGTAGGTACGACGCAGCCTCCAGATGCAGAGTGCTTGCCCAGACACAGGAGGGAAGCAGAACACTCAGAGGGGCTTGCTAAGAAGGGTGCTTTGGATTCCATGCATCTTTCCACCTATTACCTCAACATTTGGGCTTTCCCTGGCCAGCTCCCCTGACCCTCACCCCTGTCAAAATTGCAGGTAAAAACAGAGCAGTTAACTGAAACCTCCCCACCCCATTCCCAACAAGAGAATTCTAACATTCCACGTTGGAGCAGTGCATGTCTCAAGGGAGGGTGAGGCAGCACCTCACTCCTGTCATGAATAACCACAGCAGCAAACGAAGGTTCATGTTTGTTGGAGGGCCTGTGGCAAAGCAGAGGCTCACCTCTTAGGACTGAGGTGACCCCGGAGGCATCCGTCTTCACCTAGGCTTGACTGAACTGTGTGTACAGCCTATAGCCAATCCCAGCCTGGGACAGTAAGTTGGGGAGGGGAAGGATGAATAGGATATTGTCACCACCAAAGAAAGAAAACTATAAATTATTCCCCTTTTACTAAGTGACATGTTACAAACTGCCCAAAAAAAAAAAAAAAAACAAAACAAAAAAAAAACAAAAAAAAAAACCTCAAGCATTCACATTAAAACGAATAGGACAAGGTCAAAAGGTGAGGTTTTTGATTTACTGCTTTATAGTAATCTTAAAAGAAAAAGAAAGGCAACCACACCTCTAACTGCAGGTGAGGTGAGATGGAGACAGACGCTACAGTATGTGGCTAGAGTGGAGGATCCAGGTTTTCCCTTGACGTGGCATGGGGATTTGGAGGCAAGGGGTGTGGAGAGGAGACCCTGGCTGGGCACTTATTGCTGGCTGGGAACTGGCTGGGGTGGGGGGGGTGGGTGGGTGGGTGGGTGGCAATCAGGTTGAAGTAGGAAACGTCTAACACCAAGGCTGAGGGCGGTCATTTGAGGGTGAAGGTATCGGTACGTTTTCCATGCACACTAGAGGTGGGTGTGAGGTGTGGAAGCCCACAGGTTGGTGTTTGGTCCAGTTTCCTGCAGTGGCAGCCCCCTCTCGGGGAGAATCTAGGGAGAGGGTTACAATATCCTACAACATCAGGTAGGTCAACAGGAGGTCACAGAAATGTGGCGCTCTTTAAATTTGACTCAGGTAAGTGGCTAGTGGGGGGCCCTGGGTGAGAAGGTGGCCAACACCCTGGAGGGGGCATTGCACCAGGAGTTGAGGGGCTTGGTTGGGGACAGGACAATAGTACCAGTGTTTACAGACGGCAGGGAAACAATAAATTAGGACTTCATGTTGCTATCATTTGGCATAACACACTCAGGCATTTTTTTTTCTTTTTTTCCTTCTTTTAAATATAAGGCAACTTGCCAACACATAATTTAAAAACTGGTCTTCAGCCACATTGCTTCAGATCACTACAGATTTTCTGGCTAAGGAACAGTGAGAATAAACCCAAACCCTTCAGTTATCAGCTCACATTCCCCAGCGACAGGAGGAAAGGCAAGGGCTTATTATTATTTATAAAGCCCAACTGTGCAACAGAAGACAGGTGCAAAAATTTACAACAAAACAATCTAAAGTTACAGAGAAGTGTTGAATTTCTAGACAACTAATTGTCACTTGGGAATGAGTCCCATTGGTCCTGGAACAGGTGGAAGATGCTCTAAGAATGGGCAAGGGGCAAAGGGGCCATTTCCAACGTCAGCCCGCTGCAACGGTCAGAACCATGCTCATTTGGTAAAGGAAGAAGTCAAAGAGCTTAAGGCTTCGTGTTTTTCCTTTTGTTCTTCATTAAGCTGAAGGGTGGCAAAATGTAAGGGCAAATGTACCTGCGGGGCCACTCATACACAGCGCTCCTCAAACCCACTCATTCATACAGAAACATGACATTAAAACTTACAGTGTGGACTAATAATTCTTAGCCAGTGTAGAGAACCAAATGCATTTTAACTTTTCTTTTCTTAAACTTTTTTGGTGTTTTTAGTTCCAGACTCTAATGTGATCACCCTTTACCTATAACTAATTCAAGTAAGGTAGTTTTTGTTTTTTTTTGTTTTTTTTTTTCTTTTTCTTAAGAGGGAGGGGAGGCAGGGATGAGGACAGTCGTTGAGTTTGGAGAGAGGCAACAGTGACAGGAGGTCTTGAGAATGCCAGATAGCCACTGCATTTCTCTGGAAGGGGAGTCAAGAACCAAGATGCCAATGCAAAGGTTTTCTCTGAGTCTCAAGGCTTTGGCAAGGACAAGTGCAGCGGCTTGGGAGCAACAGACCAAGCCTTGAGGAATGGGAGCAGCTGGGGACGGTGGGGATTGTATTTATTTTGACTGACATCTTTGGGGAATAAAGAATTACGTTTCCAGAGCACTTAGAAAGTGGTTTTTCAGTCCCAGACAGGGAAGCCTAACTTGAGGGCCTAGGCCACTCCCCTCAGCCATACCTCAGTTCCAAAACAAACAGAAGCTCAAAAAAAGATGGCGAAGAGTCGAAGCGGTCAGGGTGAAGACTGCCTAGTGGGCAGGTGGCTGAGGGGACAGGGTTAGGTTCTAACAGAAAACCAAGAGTTGCTTGAGGGAAGAGCAAAGACCTTCTTCTGCCCCCAAACAGACCCCGCCATGTCCCCTTCCTTAGACATCTAAGGATGGTCACACTGGAGCAGTGAGACTATCCAACTACCCAGTTCCTTCAAAGTAAGACTAAACCTAGAAGGGCGATGCATGACGCGCTGCCTGAGGAGGGCGTCACGGCTCCCTATCTATACCCTGGGTGCTGAATATGAAGACTTCGACTATCCGTGGGGTCGGGGGCTCGGGTGCCGGGGGCTCGGTGGGCCTTGCTCAACATGGCCAGGCTCTGTTCTCGGAAGCAGGCCTGCTGGAAATCCCCACTCAGGTAATCCACTGTTTGCATCACGCTGTTCTGGCTTGCCACTGGACCACCCCCGGTCCCTGCTCGGTAGTGAGCCCCAGGAGCTGCCGCACAGTCGAGGGGTGCACCCGTGGGCTGCCCACCATGGAACGGCATGGCGAGGTCCTGAGACCCCGAGCTGTCGCTATTGGGAGTTGGTAGAATGTTGTTCCACAGGGGTTGGAAGTAGTGACCATTGGGATAGGCCAGTGGGGCTGGCAGGCCGTTGACTGGTGGGGACGGGGTCGGCTTCTCCAAGGGTGGCTTCAGATGGAAGGACTGTGCCAGGCAGAGTTCCTGCGGGTAGGCAGGAGCCTTGGCTACAAAACCAGGCCCTGCCACCTCTCGTCCTGCTGTATGTTTGCCCGTCAGGCCGGGGACCGGTGTCCCACCAGCCTCGCTGCACATCTGTTGTAGGTGGGCCAGCTGGTGCTGGTTCCAGGTAACTGGCTTGAGGTCGCTAGGGTAGCCAGTGGGGGCTCGAGAGATGCCTGCGGGCAGGTTAACAGGGCCTGCAGCAGGCAGTGCGGCTGTGGCCGCATGGGTGTGCTCCATGGGATTGACCACACATGAAGGCATTGGTGTGGGGACGCTGTGGGTCGACACCCGCGTGCTTGCATTGATGAGCA